ATTTAACATACAGGCTACATTGTCAAGAAATTCTAGAAATGAACACAATAAATATATAAATAAATTAACAAAAATAATGTACTGTAGGTTCAATTCCTGACATTTAAATAATAAAAATACAATAAATAGCTAAGCCTCAGTAATATAAAAACCAAGCACTTTTGTCTGAATTATACATTGAAAAAAAAAAAAAAAACACACACCTATCTGAGACCATACACGCAATACTGATATATCAGTTGTCTCCACTCAGAATATGGGAGAGAAAGTTACTACTAACATCAGACTGACAAACAATAGGTTAGCTTGTTCACATGTGAAAAAACTAACCGGATATTTTAATAACTTGTTTTGTTCATCGGACATGACCTCATAATAAATCAACATTAATTTATCTGCTTCTGTTCAGATTTGATATGTTTCACTAAGGTGGGGACGGCTATGTGACAAATGAATAAGGTGCAAACCTGTTTCTACGCTGTTGATGCACCAGGCTTCTCCTTCACCTGCTCCTTTACCCCCTCCACACCCCCGTCAGATCATACCATCCCAATCTATGAGCTCACTTCTCACCTTGCAGTTGATCATGTCAGCGATGCGGGCCTGAGGGCTCTGACCAGCCTTTGACCTGACCATCACATAGACGGCTTTGACTCCTGGGCAGGACCTCAGCAGCTTCTCCAGCAGCACCTTCAATAATGAGCGAGTGAGGGAAACAAAATCATATTTTTTTTTTTTACTCTTTGGACTGTTCAGCTGAGGCACTGCAGGCTGCTTAAAACTGCAACCTCGTCCCTTTGTCCACAGCAGAAGTGGAGTAAACAAAAGTGTTGTATCAAGAATGCTTCTTCCTCCACAACATCTGAACAGACAAATGCATTTAAAAAAAACAAAAAAAAAACAACGGCTGCTCTGTTTGGTAGAGGGAGGCAGTGAAAGGAAAGTCTTATAAATCCTTTGCTACATTTATTAACCGTTTCAATGAAGAAAAAGGATTCATGCATCTGCTGTTAAACTAAGGATGTTGTTACTGCATACACATGAACATAAATGCAGCATTAGACCCTTGAATTAGCACAGTGAAGTCTTGCAATTAAAGCAGCAAGAAGTGCAGTCCGTCACTATTGGGTTCAGTCATGTGTTATTGCCTGCTTGCCTATTCAACTGTTACTGTACCTTGCCCATGAAGCCTGTTGCTCCGGTGATAAGCACATTTTTCCCTGCATAGTATTCTGGGATGTTCACCATGATGTCTGCAGACCTGTTCGGCGTGCTCCTCAACAGCACTCCACCTGCACAGACAGGACAGAAATAGGGAAATAAGGGAGGATTACAATAGTGAGACCAACTTCATGCCTGAACTTGCTCAATGAGGCGTTTCTCATGTGGAGTCTGAAGATGTGAATTTAAAAAAAAAAAAGTGAAGAGGGAAATAAAAGAACTGTAAAAGAAAGATACAAGATAGTGGCTTGGAGGGAAGTTAAAACTTGTGTAACTTGTAGAATTGCTCAAGGTTGTCAGATGTGCCTCAAGCAGGGTTATTTTTCCATCATTGCATCGATCAGCTGCACTTTCAAGAATGCACGAAACCAGCACCGTCACAAATATTCAAGTCATTTATCAGATGGAGACGGCGTTTGTAGAGTTTTCTTTTTTACATGACAGATTTGTCTGTTTTATTGTTATTGTTTATTATTTGTCTGTCTGCGCTCTTCTCATTGGTTTACAGTGGAGGGGGTTCAGTTGGAGAACAGCGATGTCAAACCCCCTGCACCAATCAGAATTTAAAATATTGAAAACAGAAATCTGCAAACAGTTTGTTTTTAATGCTCATTGTCTTCTAGATACTTGATTTGAAACCAAAATGTAAGTGGGTTTAAAAGCAGGTATGAAGCTCGCCAATGTTTTGCACACAATTTAAGATTGTTGACTATAAATTAAATATAGACACCAGTCTTATCCTTTGACATGCAAGGCTGACTGTTTGCACAAAGTATACACAGTGGAAAAGATACATTTGTCCCAAGAAGGGCTGCAACTAATGCTTTATATAAACTAACCTTCCACTGCCTCTTAACGGATTAACAGATTCACCTGAATTAATTTACAAAATCTAAGACAGTGAAAAATGCCACATAATTTTACATAGCCGAAGGTGAGGCCTTTAAGCATTTAAGATGAAAGTAATGAATATTTGGTAGTTTTGCTCTGGGCCAGGCGGCATGACCAACATTTTTTTGGTAAATTTACTTTGTATTTTTTTATTTGATTCGTTAGCATTCCGAGATGGCGCTATTACCAGCTGGGGTCTCGATGTTGCTTCTTGGGATTGTTGGAGCCAACGGTCCCCAGTTTAGGGGTCACTGCCGAGTGGCTCCTGATACTCCATGGGGATCAACGCTTGCTGTGACCTTCCACTCTGCTCACGCTGTCTTTAGCTTGGTACTTTTCACCCTTTTCGTGTTCTTCTTTTCCTGTGTGGACCTACGATGGGCAACGCCAAGTCTATCACCACCACTTTTTCTGGCTCTTGTCTACACTATGTTGGTTTGTTGGCGGCCGTTGGTCGGTTGTTTCTCGATGACAGCCACTTGCTTCAATTTGGCGGTGGTACTGCATGGTGGGGCTTGTCACTCAGGTCAGCTGTCTGCTTCTTCTCCGCACCTCTGGTATTTGGGTTTCGGTGTGCCTGAGGACATCGTGCCTAGCAGTGTGTCCTGGCATGGATTCGTTTCTGGATTGGCAGTTCTTGACTGTGTTACGATCAGGTGGATAGTGGCCTTGATGCTCACTAGTCCTCGGCCTCCCTCTTTCCGCTTAGCGTACAGTCTCAGGGTGCTGGATAAATATATGCTGCTTGGATTTATTGTTAGGTATGCTAAACATCCATTGATGATCAAAGTGCCATGAATATATTGTAACATACAGTCATCCAGCAGTTGATCATAGTCAGTCAGAATAGAACAACTGACAGAACCCCCACAGTACAATGGGCCGACTGAAATCTGAGGCTACAGAATGACCAACGTTACATAAAATCACACTCACTAATGTTTTGTGTGTGTCTCCTCCCCCAGGCCAAGGGTCATGGGAAGTGGCCAGTGAAATGGTATGCTCCTGAGTGTATAAACTACTTCAAATTCTCATCCAAAAGTGATGTGTGGAGCTTTGGGGTACTCATGTGGGAGGCCTTCTCCTTTGGCCAGAAACCATACAAGGTATGAATAAATATATTTTTTGTTGTTGTCTATTTGTACATTTTAATCCATTTTATTACTTTGTATATCCCTTTCCTATTTTGAGTTTCCATCTTTTCCTAATCCTGCCCCCAGTGTTTCCTCACTGCAACTTGACAAGATAGGGTTCCCCCAGTTTGTGATTTTATCAAGTGCTGTTATTGTGCTGAGTGTTTTATTGATTAAAAGCAGTAGGTAACTTTTATAAAAAATAAGTTTTTGCTGAAACTTATATTCTGACAGTAGTACATAAAATAGATAATCTGTGAACAAATCAGGTTCCTCTGGCTCCTCCTAGTGCTCCTAATGACATTTGCAAGAATCTACCAGGTTGAACGAAAACAACCAATCAGAGCCAAGAAAGATAGTAAATTGTTGAGTCTCATTTCCAGGTTGTCAAATATAGACATGTTGGGACCCAGGGAATGAGACTCAACAATCAACTAAATAAGCCTCCAACCCAAAGGGTCTTTCTATCTTTCTTGGCTCTGATGGTTGTTTTGTCAGGACCAATGGATTCTTGAAAATACCATTAGTCTCAAGTACTACTGTCAGGATATAGTGAAAGTTTCAGCAAATATGAAAAAAGTAACTTTTATAAAAGTTACCTACTGCAGCTTTAAAGGTATAACTTAGACTAAAACATCTTTGTGGTTCACTTACAGTGTGACATTTCGTGCTATTGTGTACAATTGTCCACTCATTTGGACTGCATTTGTTTGTAATGTTGTTACAAATTGTATTGACCTACTGATTGCATGAATGACAATCCTCTCAGGGTGAAAAATAGTAAAAGTAAAATATTACAATATACAGTATGCAAAACAATTTTCTCTACATTGAATCTGAACATCTAATTGTTCACAGGGAATGAAAGGAAATGATGTCATGCAGATGATTGAAGGTGGAAGACGTATGGACGCCCCAGTGAACTGTCCAGAAGAGATGTATGACCTCATGAGGACCTGCTGGACATACAAGTAAGTGACACATTGACTCTTATGAGAACACACTGTCTCAAAGCAGAAAGCAATAATAGGGGTGGTGTCTGTTAGGAAGCCTCATTATTGATAACTGCTGTCTGTTTTCATGTCTTCCAGGGCAGATGAAAGGCCTGGATTTAATGTTGTTGAGCCAAGACTACGAGAGTATTATTATGACATTGCACAGTAATTCCTCACATGGATGTTATGAGTCTATGCAAACTATAAAAAAACTGCATCATATCCTGTATGAATGACTGGAGATGGTTATGCTGTTGTAAAATACTGACTTCAACTCAAGAATTTATGTAGATTTTTAAACATTGACCATAATTATGCAAATGTAATGTTTTTTTTTTTATTACTTATTTTGTTCCTTCCTGAATGTAAACAATATGAACATTGTAACAAACAGATACAAGTCCAGCTTATTCTATTACAGACATGTTACAGATACATTAATTTGTTAGATGTGTTTCATACTGTAAGTGCATTATATGTATTCTAGCTTTACCCTTTGATCCTTGAATGAAGATCTGATATCAGTGTAATGGAGAGATAGGACTGTCCTCAGTCTCTGTAATCACATATGAATAAATTCCATCACTGGTAAATGGTAAATGGACCTGTACTTGTATATCGCCTTTCTAGTCTTCCGACCACTCATAGCGCTTTTACACTACGTGCCACATTCACCCTTTCACACACTTATCAGTGATGGCAAGTCCAGTCAAACAGACACTAACTCATTCATTTATACACATTCACACACCGATGCACAGCATCCGGGTGCAGTTTGGGTTCAGTATCTTGCTCAAGGATACTTCGACATGTGGCGGGAGGAGCCAGGAATTGAACCAACAACCTTCTGGTTAGGGGACGACCCGCTCTGCCATCAGATATTTGAAACATGTAAGAGTGGAGTTACTGCAAAAGAGGACTGAGGCATTGTTAGAGTTTGCTTGTGGGTACCTATAGAATGCATTTTTATTCAGATATCTTGAGGTCAGAGGTCAAGGGTTCACTTTGAAAATGGTCATGCCAGTTTTTGCATCGCCAAAATTTAGCCTAACTTTGGAGGGTTATTTAGCCCCCTTCTCGACCCACTAGCATGACATGGTTGGTACTAATGAATGTGTCAGGTCATCTAGTTTCATGTGACAGCTAGTTTTAAAGCCCACTACAGCATCTGAAAGATGCAAAGATAATGGGGTGGGGCTTGGGGTGGCCAATCATATTTCAGGGGTGGCCAGTGCCGTCTGGAAAGGCCCCTAAGAACACTGTGATGGATTGTTGTCCCAAAATATGCAAGAGGAAGTATTGATATCTTTGATGAGATTCTTTTTCAAAAGTATTCAAAAAGTACAGAGAGGTGTACTTTTTGGACAAAACACAAACACTACACACACATATTAAGACATATACTCTGCTTGGAACAATAATGTGTGTCTGGTATGTTTTTCAAACAAAAAAAATATAATTTCCACATTAAAGTCTTGAAGAAGTCATCTCCTACTTCTACCTCATTAAGAAATATAGAATCTCTGAATATGCAAATGTCATTTTCTAAAGTTTTCCTGCTGGACACAAGATGTCCAACATTCACTGTAAAGTGTAAGACAAAGTGCATCAGTAATTAAACCAAATGGCCCTATCTAGAGCCATTGTTTAGTTTGGCTGTTTTGGGTTACTGTAGAAACATGCAAGGTAAGATTTATTATCTCTGTAGATAAAAACAGCTCATTCTAAGGAAACGAAAACACAACAATTCCTATATTCAGGTGATTAATGAAAACATACCTATGAATATTATATTCCTTTTCTGGCAATAGATCCTCCTTAATGTTACACAGTGGACCTTTACGGAAATGTGTCCCAAATCAAAAAATGCAAAAAAGTAAAACCCATAGAAAATTGAAGAGAGAGTAAGAGAAATTAATTTCTCTTAATGTTGTTATTAAATCAGTGAAGTACCCTTTTAATATCCATTTACTTACCAGAAGTTAGACCATCTCAGTCTGTTGTTGTTCTTCTAAGTACTATTCTAGAGAACTGCAGCAGGATTCGGTCCAGAGTCCAGATGTATATATATAAAATAAGCTCAATAGGATTGTATCCAAATGACCTCCCCATCTGGATACAATCCTATTGAGCTTATTCTGAACAGTTTGATGAGTTGTGGAAAAGTGCTGAACCAGCAGGCGGCAGCAGAGTCAAAGTGATGTTAAACTAAAGCCACAGAAATAATTTTTAATGAGTGCTTTTAGTGCCATGATCTGTTTCTTAGCTTGATGTGGCATACCAAACAGAATGGTCACAGTTTTCCCAAAATGATGGAAAGTTTACTATAAGATATTATATTCTGCTTAAAGAAATATATCACAACAGTAAGCAGCTTATATGATATTCATGTATAACAAAAAGAATAATGTCCCAGGACACTTTTGTGACTACAAAGTGTCCCATTACCATCCAGCTTTTAATGACTGCCTGTACACTGTAAATAAAAACAGTTGAGAACATTTAGAATTTTCATAACTTCACAAAAAATGTGAAAGTTAAACTCAAATTGTAAAGTTTTGAAAAGACTTCCATTTCTTCTTTAGAAAAACTTAATTCTTTGAGTTTTGAAAACAAAAAATTCTTTATTTTAAAAATGGTTCACATATAGCTGTGGACAGGTTTTTTTTTATTATTTTGGGTGCTTGAAAATGGAATAGTTGCAATATAAAATATGAAATTATTAACCTTTTTTCACTTTTCTGGACATTTTTTTAAAATACAGATTGTTTTCATGAATTATCATTAAATTTATTTAACGCTTAAGTGTTTGAGTTTGCACACAAGAATTTGATGAAGACAGTTGCCTTGAAATTTTTTAAGGTAGGGAAAAGAAGAAGAAGAAGAAGAAGATTCATTTTATTAATCCCCAATGGGGAAGTTCTTGGCATGACGTGTGACTCCATTTGTGCCTTTGGCTTTGTGTCAGTGGCCAGTTATACAGTTATTACAGTGGTAAGGAGTGTTCAAAAGCCCCATTAACTTTTCTGGTGTGGGCCCCCATGATGGCAAGGAGGCCCCTGTAAAAAGCAGGGCTGATGGTGTAGAAATCCCCCACCTGGTACTGAGGTTTCCTCCCTTACTTGTTACTCACCAAAACCCATTGGGATTCAGATAAGGACTCATAGCAAGCCAGTTCAAAATTAACTAATGTTTACGTCTCTTTCTTGGGTGCTTTTTGTCATTGAATGAAATGAAATTGAAATTTAATGAAATTGTTATATTTAAAATTTTAATTGTTATTTAAGATATAGACTTCACTCTCTGAGAAACAGCCTCATCCTGCATTAGAACAGTTCAAACAACCAAAGATTTGTTATAATATACTGAAATGGTGTAAGCTGAATCTTTAGTAAGTATTCTGGAGATTGTCTATAAGGTTGAAAGTGCTATTTAATGGTTCCCCGTGGAGTTTTTGACCTCCAGTAGCAGTATATGGATGCATTGCACATGCATGCCGGACATGGTGTCACTGTTCCACTGATCAACAGGTGGTGGATACACACCAAAATATGCTGCAATACACCAACAAAAATAGTTTTTTTTTTTACTTTTTTATTGCTTTTATAAGCTTTTTTTTTTGCTTTGGCATGCATTGGTCTCTGTAAATCCTTTTTAAATCATAAATCCTTTTTTAAACTGAATGTTTTGTCAATTGCTTATAAAGCACATGAATTACATTTTATGGGTTTTTATAGGTTCTATATAAATTAAGCTTGATTAATTGATTGAACAAGGGATCATAGCAGAAACTGAAAAGGTGCAGGGTAAGGCCAAAAATGTAACATAATGTCTATGCACTCATACATACTAGTACATACTATATGGATATACAGTGCCTTGCGAAAGTATTCGGCCCCCTTGAACTTTTCAACCTTTTGACACATTTCAGGCTTCAAACATAAAGATATAAAATTTTTATTTTTTGTGAAGAATCACCAACAAGTGGGACACAATTGTGAAGTGGAACGAAAT